AGGGAACTGCCTTCTGGGCGAATGGGGAGGAAAGGGTGTTAATCGGTAGCTATTTGGGGCCAGGTGCCTTTACTAGACCCTTGATTTACAGTACTTTGGGACTTCGATATCATTACACCCCCATTTTACAGTTAAGGAAATGGAGGCTCAGAGAGGATAAGGCAGACACATAGGAAAGGGAAGAATGCGAATCTAGCATCAACCCAAACACACAGCATCTTCCCTGGACCAGAGCTCCTCAGCAGCGGCAGAGAAGCAGAATCACCCAACACGTGGTTAAGACCACCCAGAGCTGGGCACCCCCTTGAAAGGTCTCACGTCAGGGTGTGTGGAGTGAGGCTCATCGCGGAGTGGAGTGAGGAGCACGTGCAGCCGGGTGACCGGAGTGTGCAGCCAGGGCTGGGCAGGCAGCCAGACCAGGCGGCTGTCCAGACTGGGCTCCCAGATCCCGGAACGCCGTCTCGGCCCAGACCTGACAGGAGCTGTACTCCGCAGCCACGTAAAGACCTGCACCACACCCTGTCTTCCTCTACCCGGAGAGGAAACAGCTGCTGCTTTCTTTAAGCAAGAGAGTAGAGAGGAGTCCATTAACTCATTAGCCAACATTCAAAGCCACTTGAATATGGATTTTAGGCAATGGTATCACACGGAGAGGCACAAATACAGGGGACTCTGAAATCACAGATCGGCGTCCTTTCTCTCCCCTGTTAGACCAGGAAGTCCAACTGACATTTGTTTTTGTTTTGTTTTTGCTTTTGTTTTTTACAATTCTTCATTGTTGTCGATTAGCGTTTTTGGTTCCCTATATTTATGGTTTAAATGGGTAAACATTTTATGTTTACTTCTCCTAAAAAACCTGTAATAAATTAGGTTGCTCTTTGAATATAACTTTTTTTAACTGGTAAAAGGATTTATTATGAGTTCACTTATATGAAGTTCAAGAACAGACAAAAACCTCATCTTTAGTGAAAGAAATCAGATCGGGGTTTACTCTGGAGGGTGGGGTTTGGAAATTGACCAGAAAGAATCACAAAAGAACTCTCTGGTAATGGAAACACTCTAATATGAATTGGGATGACTGTTGCATGTACATAGACATCTCTCTAGTACATCAAGAAGTACAGTTAAGATCCGTGCATTTTACTCTAGGTAAAGTATACTTCAATAAAATCTTGAATATGATGTTTTAAGGAGGGGGAGGCTCAGGGACCTTTATTCAAAACAAAACAAAAAGCTCTCTCTGCTGAAGAAGCTCCCACCATGTGCAGAAGGAATTCTACCGATTGACACGCTCTTGGCTCCCCTAATCCCAGGCCCTGATAGTTTCTCCTGTTGTTCTGATCATAAATCATCTCCACCTCCTGGGCTTGATTATTTCAGGCTGCATACCTGTGCAGAATGCACCCACCGAATTATCCTGCCAGCTTAAACCCAGCAGAAGAGTAGCTTTTCTTGCTTAAGCCAGATGTGGAACTGGAAAGGGAGTTGGGGTTACAGTAGGAGGGTTAAAGATTAGACAGGACTCATGGCTGGGGAATTGACCTTTGACCACAGATAAATAACAGCAGCCAAAGTGCAGCCCCCCCCTCGCCCCCCGCCTCCGCTGTGTGAGAAGACATACCAGGCTCTCAGGGCGACAGGAGGGAAGGAGATGTAGAAGGAAGCTCAGGAGAGCAGAAAGGAAAGAAAAGAAGGAACCAAAGATCGAAGATTGGTTGCCTGGAACACAGCAGAGTGTCTGCGCACTGTCAGTATCATCCCTGCTCAGCGCCCCATGCCATGGATATAATATTTGGCAGAAATAAGAAGGAGCAGCTGGAACCTGTGAGGGCCAAAGTGACAGGTAAGCATTTAGTGCAGACACGGGCTCTCATATATTTAGACATACACTTTCTCTTCTGTTTATAAAGGTAAAATTTATTGTAAATTATTTTTGGAAAATCTGGAATGCAGTCTATAGCAGGGAATGATCCACAATCCACACGTATTCTCTGCGAAAATCTAGGTGTGCTTCTAACACACAGAAACTGTTTCCAGGGAGAGGGAGAGTCGTTCTCACTACTTGAGGCGAAGAGCTGGGGATGCTCCGACTGGCATGAAGACAATGGAGTGATTCTGCAGGGCATGGCCCGTTCCAAGCGGGTGGTGCCTTTGTGCAAATCTGTGCGCCCTAAATTACCTTATCAATGGCATGAGAGGCACACATGGGCTTCCACTTTTGCATGTGCATGCGGGGGTGGGGCACATGCAGAGCGTGTCTTGATGTCCTTGAGGGGTGATCGGGGCCTTGGAGTACCCGCAGAGTCGTAAGTCAAACAGACCCAGAGTAGGACCCTCCACCAGAACAGTCCTTTAGCGGGCTTTGTGTCTCGTTTTCTTCATCTGTTACTTTTCCCGCTCTCTCCCCTTCTGTGCTGCCCCTGAGAATGGCGCGTGGCTGGCTCAGGCACGCAGGTGCTTTCATCCTCAGATACTTGGATCTGGAGGCTTTTCCCAAGTGAGCATTTCTCTGTGAGGAAGTCAGATGGGAGCTTTTCAACCAAGGAATTGCCTTGGAAGGCTTTTGAAAGAATAGCTTTTATGTGTGTTTTTCTCTGATTACAAAGATAGCGTATGATCTCTATGTGTGTGTGTGTTTTGTATGTGCACATATATAAAAACTTGGATATGGTAATGGGAGCACAGGGCAATAAAACCAGCTGTATTTCCATCTCGAGCATTCCTAATACTGGAGCACTTTAAGTTTTTACAAGCTAGAGATTGTATAGACGACAAATATTTTTTTCAAAAACACATGTTTATTTACAATTAATATTTTATTTAAAAAAAGAGAGCCTCCAATACCTATCCTTTTATGCTCTGGGACACCATGAGCATGCTGCCCGTAAGCCTTATGTTTAATGGCTGCACAGAAATCCTTGGCAATTTTAGAAAGCCGGAATCCTGGAACCTACAGATCTGAGTGGACAGGTGGATCCACATGAGTTGTTCTCCACACCTCCAACCCATACCTGTAGCCTCCCCATCACCTGGGCGTTTGTTAGAATCACAAATTCCTGGGCCCACTCCAGACCCACGGAATCAGATACGCTGGAGGTGGAGCCCAGCAGTGTGTGTTTCTACAAGCCCTCTGGTTGCTTCCAAGTGTGAGAACCACTGCTATAAATCATGCCTTCCTCCTTGAGGGAAGCTGAGGGCTGGAGAGGGGCTGTGACTTGCCCAAGTCCAGGCGGCCCACGAAGGACGTGCTCCCAACCCTCAGTCCAGGCCTCCAGTCCGGGGTCAAGTCTAACCATTGGCCGCCTGTTAACTAAAGATTGTCCCACGTTTGCCCATGAAGGCCATGTCCAGGCTTCATGTTGGACAGTGCTTTCTTGGCTCTGAGACCTCCAGTTAATTAAGCATTTCTTGCCTCACTTCCTTCTTGTGTAAAATAGTCTGCCTGTACCTACCACATAGGGTCACTTGCAATGACAATATGATTTAATGCACCTGCTCCCCACCCCGCACTGGTGCCTGGTACATAGTGCTCAATACGTGTCCTTCTGTCTGGGGTTTTGTGTTCAGATTCCCCTCTCTCTGCTCTGCCTCACCTGCACCTTTTCCTGCATCTGGGTCTCTGTGAAGAGCCCCGCTATTCAGTTAGTTGCCCAGGGAAAAAGACGTGGGGCCCTCTGCCTCATATTCACTCAAGCTCCCAATCCTACTCATTCCACATCCTCCAGCTCTTTTCTCTGTTGTTTCTCTCCATCCTCGCTCAGCCTTCCTGCCTCCTCTTGGTTCCTCCTCCTGCCACACTCTACACCACAGAGACAACTTTTGAAACCCCAAATCTGAGCATATTCCATTAATATGAGCTGATCAGAAGAGGTAGATCTTTAGAAAGTAGATTAGTGGTTGTCAGGAGGACAAGACTTTGTTTCAGGGTGATGGAATGTTCTGGAACTAGATGGTGATGATTGCATAACATTGTGAATATATTTAAAAAAAAAACAACAACAACCCTGAATTGTATACTTTTAAATGGTGGAATTTTTTTGTTATGTGAATTTTATCTCAAGAAAAAAATTGCACATGCACAAAAATCTGATCCTCTCATTCCCTATTTTAACTGGCCAAGCTGTGCCATTCTGCTAACCTTCTAATCCAAACCCTTGGTGTGGTCTCATTGGCTTTTGTCATGCTTCATGCTTAGCTCTCAGGCCTCAATACTTACGCTTCCTCACTCGAAAATTACAGACCAGTCTTGCTAAACAACTGGCACATCTGCTGGTCTTTGAGCTGGTCTTTGATCTCTCCGGTTTGTGTTCCCCAGCAACAAGAATTCAGATGTAAGTAGTTTAATTTGGGACATGATCCCAAGAAACACTGGGAGGGAAACCAATAAAGGGGGCATTGTCAAGCTACAGACCAGTGAGTCATCAGACCTGAGCCCTCTGGGCATAGTGTATCACATGCCTCATATTGTCCCAACTGGGGGCAAGGAAGTGGTCACATGCGATGTCCAACTCCCCATCCATCACTGGGTGACAGCCACTTATAGGGCATTAACGCCAAGGTGTTCCAGCTTGCCTAGTGTGTGGGCAGAGCAGCTCCTTCAGTGAAAACAAAGCCCTCAGGCAGAGAGCTGCAGGTAGTGGCAGAAAGTAACCTTTAGGGAGAGGTCAGTGCTAAGAGGACAAGGGTGGGGCACCAACAGTGTCTACTGCCGCAGGCTACCTCTAGAGCAGTGCTATTCAACAGAGATAAAATGCAGGCCACATGCATAGTTTTAAATTCTAATAGCCACACTCAAAAAAAAGTAAAAACAAAACAAACACAAAAACAAACACAGGTGAAGTTAATTTTAACCATATATTTCATTTAAGGCAACATATCTAAAACATTATAGGTTCAACATGTAATCAATATTTTAAAAATTGCTAATGAGATATTTTATATATTTTTTCATACTTAGCCTTTGAAATTCAGTGTGTATTTTACAGTCTCCAGCACATCTCTGTTCAGACTGGCCAGGTTTCAAGTCCTCGGTAGCCACATGAGGCCCGTGGCTACCATATTGGACAGCACAGTTCTAGAATGTTCTTTTCTCATGCCTTTGCGAGGCCAATAACTACTCCCCCTCAAGACTCAGCCTCCCCACCCTCCTGCTCTCACCCTACCTGGGGGTGAGGTTGTGTTCCACGCAGCCCCCTTGCTGAGCCTGTCACATTGCCTTCCTTTATTGTGGTGAGGTTAGGGTGTCTGTTCATCCATCTGCTCTGTGGGTGGTAAGCAACTTGAGGACAGAGATGACATCAGTTCTTCTCGGTATCCTCAGTGCTGGCACAATCCAGGCATATCCTACCCTTTCTGGAAATGACTGCTGAAGGAATGAGTGGGTGCTACAAGTCATGTTGGGATCGTGACCTCAATTCCTTTACATGGCCACGTCTCATAGCTCTTTGGTTGAGATGTGAAAACTGGAAACCACTCTTTCTCTTAACAGGCAGGATTCCCACATGGCTGCAGGGCACCCTGCTCCGCAATGGGCCTGGAATGCACACAGTGGGGGAGACCAGATACAACCACTGGTTTGACGGCCTGGCCTTGCTCCACAGCTTCACAATTAAAGACGGTAAGAGTACTGGTTTGGTTTGCTGTTGCTGCTGTAAAGACAACCACAAATTTAGTAGCTCAAAATAGCACTAATTTATTCTTACAATTATGGAATTCAGAAGTCAAAACTGGACTAAACTCAAGGTGTTGGAGGCTTCAGGGAGTTAGCGCATTTCCTTGCCTTTTCCAGCTTCTAGAGGCTGCCTGTCTTCCTTGGCTTGTGGCCCCAGCTGCATCTGCAAAGAGCAGCAGAGCCTCTTGCACACCTGCTCTCTCCCTCACTCTCTCCACTTCCTTCGCTTCCATAATCACAGTTCCTTCTTGGACCCTCCTGTCTGCCTCTTCTAAGAACATTTGTGATGGCATTGGGCCCCCCCAGATAATCCAGGATTACCTCCCTTCTCAAAATTGTTAATATAATCATGTCTGCATCGCCCTCTAAGTCAACAGTTCCACAGGTTCCAGGGATCAGGACATGGACATCTTGCAGAGGCCATCCTTGAGCCAACCACAAGCACAAACCTCCCTGGAAAGGGGTCCAAGCTTCTCTTTCAGAGAGTCCAGCCTGCGAAATGATATGCCTTCTCATGAAGGTGGGCGAGAACAGGAGGAGATTACTGGCTTTGGAGTCAGACATGCCTCAGATGAAAACAGGAAGAGCACAGAGCTGAGGAGACTTCTCACCAGTCAAGGGAGAGCCTGTCACTCAAGCAACCAGTACAGTGGCTCTCCCAGAGGGGAGACTGAAATGACTGAATAAGACAGAATTCTGCGTTCAGGTGACTGGCTCACGAGGTGGACGGTGAACTCGTTGCTGTTGGCCACGGTGCCGGTGTAGGTCACAACAGCACACTCTGAGTTCATAAAGAGGTCTGGGAGGGTCATGTGGGGCTTTAGCAGGCTCAGGGTCACATGCTGGGGAAGTTCGTGTCCAGCGCTTCAGCCTGATGACATTTTTCTTTAACCCCCCACCTTCCAGCCCAACAAGCCGGTGGCTTCACCTCCCTTGGCCTCTGTTTCCTCTGCAGTAAAAAGAGCTTGATGATCCCCTTTGCAGAGCTGTCACGGTCCTTTGAAGGGCGGGTATCTAGCAAGGGCCTGGCACCCGGTAGGCGCAAAACACATTGAAAATCCCCATCGTTGTCACTGGGTTTGAATCCCATCTTCATCTTAGCTAACATGCACCTCAGATCTGTGACCTTGGGCAAGTTACTGACCCTTTCTGTGTCTGTCTCCCATCTGTAAAATGGAGATATCAGAGTTGCCGTGGAATTTAAAGGCATTAATATGTGCAAGGAGCTTGGTATAATGCGTGGCACAGAACACATGCTCAGTAAGCATTAGCATTATATTTGCTTAATACTATTTCTTCTAAGCCAACCAGTCAGCAGTTATTTTTTTGAATGCAGACTCTAGGCCAGTGTCTTGCTCTAAGATTTCGTGACTAAAGACCCCATGTGTGAAAACCATGAGCTCTGAGTTTGCAAAAACTTAACAAATACTACTGAAACTCAGCTACAGAGTGGTGGTTCCATATTTCCTGACAGCCCAAGGCCTTAACAGTCCCCTCCTTTCCTAGACAGAAGTTACCAGTGATTCCTAGGGAAATTAACACTGTTCTGGACAGTGTGCATGGAAGGTAAAAGTACACTGGCTTCCTTTCCATAAGGCCCTGATTCGCTGGGCTGTCACGTCCCTTGTGATCCATTTCAGGGGCTCAGATGAGGGCTGCATGGGAGGCACGCTTGTCCTCTCTTTGCAGATGCAGAGATGGGAACCTTAGAGAGGCTGAGTCACTTAGCCAAGCAAGGTTGCTGAGGTAGGGCTGGGCTCTGACTTGTGTTGTCTAGGGTTCAAGTTTGCAACCATCCCTGCTCTTCTTCTCACCCTAACTCATCCCCCTAAGAAACGGCAGGTAGCTTGAGTAAGCCCTCACAGCTTGCTGTTTGGCAGCTTCCACATCCTTCCATAGAGACTCTGGAGATGAGAGAACCAGCAGGGGATGACCAAGCCATGGCTGTCTTTCCAGAAGCATGGCTGCCATCCACCAAAATCCTTGAGTGAGCTAAACAGGCACGTGACCAACATTATCCCACACTGCTTAGACTTTCTAAAAGTTTCTAGTAGATTTTCAAACTAAAAATTCATTGTCCAAAGTAAGTAGCTGTTTTGTCTTCTTTTTGTGAGCACAAAAGAAGGCAGAGGGAGGCTTGGGAACAAAGCCTCTTACAGTCACAGGTCTTAAGAGGCACAGCATGTCACACCAGCACACAGCAGATAGCACCAGGGTGGTCCAGAGGCAGAAGACAGGAGCAGGGGAAGCACATAGGCCATGGCCTGTCCTGGGGTTTCTGAGGGAAAGACAAGAGAGGGCAGAGTAAACAGCTCAGGATTGGCTCATGTTGGCAGGCTTTAGGCTACGGGGGTGGTCTCTGGTTGCCTGGCACCTGGCCCTGGGGTAATGAAGGCAGAGGAATATTGCCTCTGGGAGTGCATGGGCCAGAGAGAGGAGATCTGGCTCTGAATTAGTTAGTTTTCATCTCAAAGATATACTGGGCCCTTTGCTACCTCTAAGAATCGACTAGTCCAGGGAAGGACAGTCTCCTCCAACCAGGAAGGTTTTTTTAAGATGTCAAAACATAATGTACAGAAAATTTAAAAAATATGTATGCAGTAGCATGAAAGACTCAATTCTATGCATAATCTGGAACTGGCTGGAAAACAGGAAGTATGGAGAGTCCTCTCAACTGCTTGCATTTCCCCATTCTGCTCTTGAATCTGGCCTGTGTCAAAGGTACATGCCCCACTCTACTTTGCAACGATCAGCTTGCCATTCTCCAGCCTAGGAGAATTTCTCTTCTGTTCATATTGTTGTGTCTTCATCACCCAGCACCGGGCCTGACCTGGGGGGCGCTAGGAAACTATTTATGGAGCCCAAATGACACGAACAAGGTAAAGGGTGTTTTGGGAGAAGGAAGCTATATGTTCCCAGTTGATCTCTTCAACGCTCACTACAGGGAGTGCTTGCTGGCCACTGGCCCAAGTGCTTCATGCCCAACCACAACTCAGTCCTCACTACAGCTCCTAAGGAGGAGGGTACCTCTCGATTTTATAGCCCAGGGAGGCCAAGTAACTTACCCAAAGGCACACAGCTAAGAAGTGGTGGAAGTCAGATATAAACTCAAAGCTCTCTACATCCAGAATCTTATGAGGGAAGCATTATGTAGTTCTGCTCCACTTCCCCATCCTGCTGGCTACCACTCTCCTCATCTCTCCAACCCAGTCCTTTCGAGGTTGTCAGATTGCCAACATTAGTGTGGCACAGCCTGGCCTCATCACTCGTCTCCTTTACAAGTCTCAATGGCGGGGCGCCTGGATGGCTCAGTGGGTTAAGCCTCTGCCTTCGGCTCAGGTCATGATCTCAGGGTCCTGGGATCGAGCCCCGCATCGGGCTCTCTGCTCAGCGGGGAGCCTGCTTCCCCCCACCTCTTTCTGCCTGCCTCTCTGCCTACTTGTGATCTCTCTCTCAAATAAATAAATAAAATATATTTTTTAAAAGATTTTATTTAAAATATATTTTTTAAAAGATTTTATTTAAAATATATTTTTTAAAAGATTTTATTTAAAATATATTTTTTAAAAGATTTTATTTAAAATATATTTTTTAAAAGATTTTATTTAAAATATATTTTTTAAAAGATTTTATTTAAAATATATTTTTTAAAAGATTTTATTTATTTATTTGAGAGAGAGAGATCACAAGTAGGCAGAGAGGCAGGCAGAAAGAGGTGGGGGGAAGCAGGCTCCCCGCTGAGCAGAGAGCCCGATGCGGGGCTCGATCCCAGGACCCTGAGATCATGACCCGAGCCGAAGGCAGAGGCTTAACCCACTGAGCCATCCAGGTGCCCCATAAATAAATAAAATCTTTAAAAAAAAACAAACCTCTCAATGGCTCCCCATTCTACTCCACAAGAGTAGAAACATAAAACAAAAATGTTAAGTGCTACCATACATGATTCAAGAGGACAAGCAAGGCTGAGCAGGATACTCTGATTTACATATAACACAAAGCCAGTATTTCTCAAAAGGCGGTTTGTGTACTGCTTAATCAGAATCCTCTAGGATTAAAGCTGCAAATCCTGACACCCCACCCAGGGCTGAGTGAATCATAATCCTAAAGGACACTGTCAGAGCATCAGTGTTTTCTAACACATTTCCTAGATGGCCCCTGAGCACATCCAGGTTTCAGAAAACCTCCACAGTGGACCTCCAGCCTTGCTGCCCTGTCCCACTCAAGACCAAGTTCATCAGTGTGCTGTGGAGGTGGGGCTCAGGCTTCTCTGCCAGCGCTTCAAAGCACCAGGTGATAGTGCAGCACGGAGAACCCGAATCAGTGCCAAACCAGTAAGAAAAGACTGGAATAAGAAAGCAGAAAGATCAAAAAATGGTTTGTAGCCTTTAGCAGAAACCAGGGTAAGTGAATACTTTAAAAACCCAATAAAGACTTAACTAAAGGAACAGAGTGGAGGAGAAGCCGGACTGACAAAGGGTGTACAGGAGTGCTCTTTCTTGTAAGTCTAAAGTCATTTCAGTTTGGGTGGGTTTTTTTGTTTTTTTGTTTTGTTTTGTTTTGTTTTAGGTAGGCTTCACGCCCAGCGTGGAACCCAGTGCAGGGCTTGAACTCCCCACCCTGAGATCAAGACCTGAGCTGGGATCAAGAAAGAGTCTGACATGTAACCAAATGAGCCACCCAGATGCTCCTAAAATTACTTCAAAACTAAAAATTTTTATAAAGCAGGCAGAGAGATGAATGAACCTAAGTTTCCTTCATCAGTACAGTTGATAATTTTTTATTTAGAGGCAAGGTCGTTGTCCCACAAGGATTCGAACATGTAAATTCCAAGAGCCAGCATCACCAAAGTTTAGAGACAAAAAGAGCTCTCCAGAACTTAGCCTTTTCTGAAGCTGGCTTTTTCAATTATTCTAGCTCTAAACTAGCCTTTTAGAAGTTTGCTTAAAATGGAGATAGATATAGATACTTATATAAAATCTCCCACTCCCCCAGGAATATCAAACTTTGACCCAGTTCTAGAAGATTCCAGCAAGAGCACATCTGTTTACTCGTGTCCCTTTAGAAGGAATGTGGCTAATTGGGGCTCAGCAGGGAACAGGGTTCTGGGGAATATGTGGTGGCCTTCTTTAATCTCAGCCTCAGAGCTGAGTGTCAGCCTTGAGCAATTCCAGAGACACGTTTTCCTGTGGCCCCTGAGCCCTCCGTGCGTGCTCTGGGACTGGTTGTTTATAGGAAATGGGCCGCCTGCTGACAGCCAGCCTGGGATGGGTGTTTACACTTCAAGTGATCATAGTTCAGCATTTTAAGCAAACCATGTTTGCCAGTGCCTTGTAGGTGGCAACCCGCAGAGAGAGTGACCAGAGAAGGACAGGCTGGCTCAGGGGGAGACCAGGGTGGCCGTGAAGTAAGGTCTGTGTAGCCTGTGACCAAAGACCAATGTGTGTGGCCTTACAAACCCTCAGTTGCATCTTCCTACCTCCAGGATTTTGTTGGACAATTCAAACATGCTATGTGCCCATGGGCCAAACTCCTTATATCATCCCATCTCATTTAAAACTGCCAATCCTATACCGGAGAGGGCTATGTGATCCCTAATATCCAGTTGAGAAAACTGAGGTTCAGTGAGGTAAAGAGATTCACACAGAGTCACATGGCTTGGATTAGGACTAACCCCAGAACCAAAGCCTACCCACTCTACCCAGTGCATCTCAATAGCATATATAGCTTTTATTGAGCACCTATTATGTGCTGATTTCTTTACAGGCTTTAAGTATCACAACAACTCCATAAGGAACATATCATGATCCTCACCTCATGGCAGAGAGGACCGAGTCTTGACTCTGACACAAGGTCTAGTGCATGGTTGGTAGATGACAGAGCAGAATTCATAACCACCTGGAGACTTGAATCCTCTCAGGGGTAGAGATGTGCCTGCCCTGCTTGCCCCCACTTCCTGGCCCACTGAAGTGATCAGTAGATACTGGCTGAATACAGGAACCCAGGGCCGGGATAACCAAAGCCATTCCTCCTGGTTTCTTCTTGCAGCCCCAGAACAGAGCCCCCACTCCTGAAATAGCTCGGTGATGGTTATTTTCACAGGAGTCACCCTCGAAAAGACTTTTGAGAAGAGGATAGGTGGCTATCTGCCTCCGGGGCACACAGTTTACCTCGCAAAGGCTAGAGAAAGAACTAGAAGGTCTTTCATGGTCTCTTCCAATTTTATGAAGACTAGCATCGCCGTTATTGCTATTATTTCCATCTAGGTGCACAGGCTAGAGTCCTTACCAATGAAACGGATGCTCGTGTCCTTTGGGTCTGGAAATGAAAACGCAGTTCCAAGGGCAAAACCAGTTAAGGCTATTAGAGGTCAAGATAGCAGCTCTCCAGGATGGGGACTGGACAAGCTATGAGGGGGCCTCCAGGGGGGTCTCATGTTCTGTCTGTAAATGAGGATGTAGTTCATATGGGTGGGTTCTGTTTGGGAAGCTTCAGCAAGCCACGCAGTAATGGTAGCACATTTCCATAGGTGCGTCTTTAATAACCAGGATCAGATGGAGTGGTCAAACTGATGGTGGTGGCTGTGTCAGCTTTGAATCCAGCTTTCCCCTCCCTAGCTGTGTGGCTTAAAGCAAGGTACTTAACCTCTCTTTGCCTCGATTTTACTCACTGGAGATGGGTTGCAGGGCCGTAAGTTGTGTAAGCCCCTTATACTTTATTTGAAGTAGAAATTTGAAACCTTCAACTGTTGTCTAAATTTTGTCTTATTTTGCTTTTCACTAGCAAATGACATTAGGTTGATTATTTTTCCCCCTAAAGAACATATTTCTGGTTGGTGTATTTGATAACATTTCTATATTTTAGAATTTAACCAGAAAAAATACACATAAAGTGTCCACACAGTACTTAGCACACATGTGCACAATAAAATATTAGCTCTTAGCTCCGTTTCCTTTCTTAAATATAAAAAGTCACCAGACAAGAATTTCTTGGGAAGGTGTTCTCTCCTAAGCCCATCGTCATGGCAGTGGATACATGATGGATATTTCTCTTATCAACTTGTTTTATGGGAATGAAATGTCAGTACGACCTGGACACTACTTTTTTGCATATTATAGTTGTCCCAGCATTGGAAGCATATATTATATTACAGCAACCAATGTATTCTAGAGTGGGGAAAAATCAACAAATCACTTGCTAATTAACAGCAAAATTAAGTAAAACTTTAAAAACCCAGAGGTTTCAAATTGTCCACCAAATGGTTTGAAGTCCTCAGATATGCCAAGAGGGTGCCTGCCCCTTAACCTCATCCCATTCCTACTGCTCCCAAGCCCTTGCCTCATGCTGAAGGCCATCTTCCTCAACTCTTGCAGGAGGTGCGGTGCCTTTCCTACCTCAAGGCTTTTGCTTCCACACTTTCAAGGAAGAGTGAATGGAAATGCACTACTCTCTCCTACTTGCCAACTCCCCAATCTATGGTAGGCAAATAGTTTTACTCATCTTCCAAGGTTTATTTCAAGTGCCACCTTCTCCGGGAAGCTTTTCCGGATCCATCCACTTCCAGATGGGCCTCCTCAGCTCTCTCCTCTCTTCTCCCCCTGCTCTAATCTCCTCTCTCTTCCAGAAGGAACCCGTGAATATATTATGTTACTCTGCAAAGTAGAAGAGTCTTTGCAGATGTGGTTAAGTTAAGGACCTTGAGGTGGGGAGATTATCCAGGGGAGCTCAGTGGAATCACAGGGGTCATCACAAGGGATGGGGGGCGGTCAGAAAATACATGACAATAGAATCAGAGGTCAGAGTGATGTGACCACAAGCCAAGCAATGCAGGCAACTTCTAGAAGTTAGAAAAGTCAGAAACGGATTCTCTGCTGACACCTTGCTCTTTAGCCCTGTGAGATCCATTCAGGCTATACCTTCCAGAACGCTAAGATAACAAATTGGTGTCTTTTTAAGCCACTAATTTTGTGGCAATTTGTTACAATAGCCACAGGAACCTAATACTGGACTAGAACCATTCATACATTTTCAGGTTGGTCTTGATGAACTGGTCAAGAGGTCCTACTTTTATGCAGTGAATTAGATTCTCTCCGTTGTCTGCGTGAATTAGACATCCACACAGGTACTGACCCTCTACCGTACAGGGAATTGGGTGCTAGCTCATCCTCTGGTTGTAGTAGGTATCAAATGTCACTCCAGGGATTGAAATGGCCAGTGGAAGTTTTCCAAGGCTGAACTAGGTCCTGGAGAAACCCAGCCCAAGTATGAGGCTTTCTGGACCCGTCCTCCAAATCTGGACCTTCCCTGGAGGGAAGAGATGATCCATGGTTGAAGAGACCCATGATGGAAGAGATGATGAATGGGCCAGGTCAGCACCTCTTGGCAAGGCAACTGAACATGCCTGAGCCTCAGTCCCCTGCTGTGTAAAATGGAGCTCATCGGGATACTTACCTTGCCATATTGTCTCGAGTGAGAGCTCACCACAAATGCTCTTTGTATCCGGTATACACTAAAGGGGACTGTCCTAGTGAATTCACCTTTCCTTCTGTAATACCCCTACAATGCCTGAAATCGACCTTAAAACTCCGTAAAGCTATCAGCCTGCGCTGATTCTGTGTCTTCTCTTTCAGGTGAAGTCTATTACAGGAGCAAATACCTAAGAAGTGACACCTACAAAGCCAACATCGAGGCCAACAGGATTGTTGTGTCAGAGTTTGGAACGATGGCCTATCCGGACCCCTGCAAAAATATATTTTCCAAGTAACTGTCCGTTTGAATCTGGTCATGTTTCTCGATATCCTCAGTGGTAAAAACAACCAGCATCCACTCATCTGATGATCCTCTCTGTAGGGTGCATGAAAACGTTTACCTGGCCCAGGCTTTGCCTCTCTATGCCATGCAGTTCTTGATCACTGATAGCAAGAGAAACAAATGGCATCTGACATATTATTAGGTATTTTTCCATATGGCTGATAAGAGAGCAATTTGGAATTATCTCCCAAAATTATAAACGCACCTTCTCTTCAGTCTAGAGATAGGCTTGCTTGTGTCTGGAATGGCAGATGTATAATGTTACCCACAGCTGCATCATTTGTTATAATGAGGAACTGAAAACAACCCAAATGTTCATCAACAGAAGGATAGTTAAATAAATAAGACTGAAACTGTACAAGAAAATACCAGGCAGGAGCAATAAAAGGCAGGATGGGTAATGAGGTTGCTCCCTATGTGCCGAATGGGCACAGGGCGGAATAAGGTGTAGAAAGAGCATATGATAAGCTATGTTTTGTGTAAAAAAGCAGGAAGAAATCTGGGTTTATTTTTGCTTGTATGTGCGTAGAGAAAGTGGGAGGATCTGTGAGGTGGGAAATTGGCAAATGAGAGAAAAAGTTAAGGAAAGTTTTTTAGTTGAATAGGTTTCAGATCATCCGGGCTAGGATGACTATGAATGTATTACAAGCTTGACAATTAAACAGTTGGCCGGGGAATCAGACCCGCTGTCAGAATCTCCTTCCTGATACTCCTCGGATATCGACGAGTTAGGAAATGTGCTAGCAGTATACTGGTCCGGAGATGGAAGATTGCTCCTGCTTTTCTGGACTAACGTCATCTTTCCAGTTCAGGATCCAGTGCTAGGGGATGCAGTGCCAGGATCCTGAACTGACATTTGCAGGCGGGGGAGGAGCCAGGCAGGGAGTGGGCGGGCGGAGACCGCAAAACTACCACCTGTAGGGCGCTTCGCTGCTTCACCATTCGCCAGCAGGGGGAGCACTAACCAACACATGGATCTAGGACCTTCTGATCAAAGTAATGATGAGTTTTTCTGCTCACCATTTGTTTGCTTTTCTTTAAAGAAAAAAAAAGAAAGAAAGAAAGAAAACTAAACTAATTTCCTGGACAAATTCAGAGTGTCCACTGTGGACTCTCATTCCTTCCAAAAGCAAGGATTAGCTGTTTTGCTAGCCTTAGGGGAGCATTATGGAAGGGTACATACGATTTCTGTGGAACTCATTAAAATACTTCAGAACAGCCTATTAGCTCTTGGTGTCTCTGGTGTGGGAGACCTTTGGGTTTTTGAGAGCTCAGGAGGGTTCAGTTGGTGGCCATCTTGTCCCAGATGACTCACTTCTTAGCTAGTTCAGCATGGTGGTATCTTTAGGCAAACTGATCTCCAAGTCCTCCGGATTCCACAAGTGATCCTTTAGGACTTGGAACTTTTTCCCCCCTTAATTGAAGTATATCATTGTAAGTGATAGGAAAACAAAAACTAAAGCCATCTTGAGCAGAACATTGATTTCCTCTTGATCCGCTTTCCTCCACAGAGCTTTCTCCTACTTGTCCCACACCATCCCCGATTTCACAGACAACTGCCTGATTAACATCATGAAGTGTGGAGAAGACTTTTATGCGACCACAGAGACCAATTACATCAGGAAAATCAACCCACAGACTCTGGAGACCCTGGAGAAGGTACCAGTGAATCTACTATAACCGCATCAGTTCCTGGCTCATGGGAGGGAACCCCTGGTTTGGGCCATGTGGCCTGCAGGAACTCATGGGGCAGCCCCTCCTCTACTGCCATTGGATTCTGAGCTTCCCCAGCACAGCACTTAGCACTAGATTCTAAGCTCCCTTGGGGTGGGGGCCATGTCGTTTCATCTCTGTGTTGGTTCTGAGGGCTACTAAACCAAAGTGCCACATACTAGGCGGGTTAGAACAACAGAGATTTATTCTTTCATGATTCTGGAGGCTGCAAATCTGAAATTGGGGTGTTCTCAGAGCCATGCTGTCTCTGAAGGCTCCAGGGGAAGATGCTGGCTGGCTTCTTCCAGTCTCAGGTGGCTGCCAGGAATCCTTGGTGTTCCTTGGCTTATAGATGCATCACTCCACTCTCTTCTCGAGATACAATCATTGGATTAGGGCCACCTCCATCCAGAATGACCTCATTTTGACTTGATTACACCTACAAAGGCCCTGTTTCCAAATATACGTACCAGGAGTTAGGGCTTCAACATATCTTTTTGGAAGACAATTCAACCCATAACAGTGTCCACCGTCTTGGCACTGAGTGGGATCTTAATAGGAGTTTGAATGAATGTACTGGATTGCCCAGACTGGAGCAGCCCTACCTTGTATTGACCTGAAGAGGGAGGCCTTAGGCAGAGAGCAAGCGAACAAGTGAACAAAAATAAACGTCCAAGCAGATACCTTTCCTGGGCAGAATCAAGTCAACATTTTCATGAAAATCAATAGACCCACGCATTTTTTCTCTAGCTGGCTAATCAAAGCCTCAGTGGCTTCTCAATACATTTTAACGATCTGTTAAAGGGAATGCTTTTCTTAGCTGTGAAATTATGTCCAGCACCTTTTAAGCTGGGCGGCATAGGTCCGACTGATGTATGCTTTCCACAAAGCCTCCGAGAGGAAATAGTAGCAGAGAATGAAGCCTTGCCTGACTTTGGGCTGGAGGTCATGCTATTCTGGGGGAGGTGAGGAGAGCAGTTGGTGCCCAGCCCCGCATAATTCTGTGGTAGTGCCCCGTTGTGGGCTTTGACTGGAGTGTTTTTGTAACTCTATGTTCTCAGAATAATCCTACAAGAGAGGCCTGGAGATTTACGCCTCTGTGGCATGCAAAGGGGGGAGAATGTAAATGAGGTAACCAGAAAGACACAAAGCAGCAGTTAAGATTAGCTTGAAGGCTGCCCCACTGTGCAGGTCATTGCTCTGTGGTGAGGCATTCTGCCACCATGCTGAGGACACCCAGCAGGGCCAGGGAGCAGGGTTGCAACGAACGCTACAGAAAACACCCGCAGCTCCCAGACTCTCCTGCCCCCTCTATGCTCTCCGTGCTGTAGGAGGCCGCCCATGAGTTTATATCAGGTCACACGGGTAAACATCCTCTTTTAAGGTGAAGTCTGCCTTATTTTCCCATCAGGAGATATGCAAAAGTCGCCATCATCTCTCTGAATCTAGAAGCAGGTGCTTTTCATCATGTTTCACCCTTCCCCCATTTTTAAAACCAGGTGGCTCTCATTTTGCAGGTTGACTATCGCAACTACGTGGCTGTAAATCTGGCAACAGCACATCCCCATTATGATGCTGCCGGAAATGTTCTGAACATGGGCACAGCCATCATGGACAAGGGGAAGACAAGATATGTGGTCTTTAGGATCCCTGCCGCTGTACCAGGTAGGTCATTCTGGGCATATCCTGAAGGACAGATGCCACGGGTGGCTACCTCCAAAGAGTTCTGATTTTCACTGATGACACAAGACTCAGTCTGACACTTTCCCTCATGGGTGATTCAGATGACCATGAACACACCTTTCTTCTCCAGGGGAAAAGAGATGCTGCCAGGCTTTCCTTTTGAAAGAACGAATTCCTTCACTATTCTAACCTGCTTTTCTTTAGGCTCCAGTTTATTGGTTCATTAATTTATCCATTATTTGTGCACCACTTACTTATGCACCCATCTGTCTGTCCATCCATCATCCATCCAACTCTCCATCATCCATCCATCCGTCCATCCATCCGCCCGCCCGCCCATCAGACATCCTTCCATCCATCCATCATCCTTTCTTCCATCCATTTTTTTTTAATTTTTCTAACATGACTGTGTATGCCAAAGCTATACTGCCAACTTTCCCCCCAGACCCTAAAGCCAGGTTCCTAGTGTTGTTATGGGAGCTCAGTCCTTCTTCAGACCCTCAGACCTTGCAGACCCCTCACCCCATTCTCTCTGGGCCTTCTGAACCTTCTCCATTTAAGGCCAGGAACCTGGCGCAAAGCCCAAGTCAATTGTGATTTCATGTTCCTGAGAGGAGGAGACTTCTGACCCTTGTTTGTCCAGGACCTTCTTGGGAACCACACCCAGGAGACCAGGCCTCTGAGGGTGGTTGCACAGGGTTCAGGAGATGGGGCAGAATGACAAGGGTACTTGGCTTGACCTGTCAGTTCAGGAAAACTGGCTTCCATCTGGGATCCCTGCTGGTCCCCTCCCTCATAGTCCTGTAGAACCTCCTGAGCTACTTACTAGTCTCTATTGGCAGATGTGAGCCCCTAAGGTCAGAAGGCACAATGAGTAGTCTTGTTAAATGAAACTCCCATGAATTAAGCCGATAAAGGAATAGAGGGTCCCGCCAGACTCCTAGAATGTCAGATCTGGGGATGGCCTAGGCATTTAAGTTTGGCACATCATATTACAAAAGAGGGTAGATAAGGCCCAGGAGGATCAGGTGACAGGCCCAAGGTCACACAGTCACACAGCTCACAGGAGCCTCCAGCACCAGGCCAGCAGCTCCCCCCTGAGCCCCTGCTGCCTCCTGGTGGCTTCCCTGGGATTCACTCCTGTGTCCTGCCTCCTAGGCCAGGGTGCTTTCCATTTCAGTTGGCTTTGTGCTCCATTTGTTTTGTGAAGAAAAGAACCACCCCACAACCCCACAGCATCCCTCCCACCAGCCAGCTGTTTACTGTGCGCACAGGTGGCCACAAGAAAGGTGCAAACGCTTGCAGATAACTCATTATGAACCAGCCCCAGGCCTGGGCGGGGAGGCCTTTCGGCCAGCGGTGACTCATCCTGACGGGGAACAGGAGCAAGAACAAGTACTGTTCGCTCCTCTGCCACACGGAAGCTGGACGAGCTGCGTGGACTACTTCATGATTTCATTCTGTTCTTTCCCTCCACTCTGAGCGCTATTATCCCTAGTAACAGAGGAGGTGGCCGGGCTGAGAGGGCTGTGTCTTCTCGGCTTAACCTTGTGCCTTTGGCCATAACGACTGACCACATTCTGTTGCACCTCAGTTTCCGACCTGTAAAATGCAGATTATACAGTCTCCTTCCACTGTCACAAGAGGCATAACAGCCCCTTATCACAGTGGGTGCTTAGTCTCACCCCTTGGTGTTTCTGAATGGTCAGCACAAAGAAATTCATGGAAACCCTGTGAGGTACATCTCAATTGCTGCTCCTCAGCAAAATACCAAAGTCGAAATCTGGGGAGCCGGCCTATCCCCAGGTGCTTGAGAGAAATGCAGAATCTGACGCCCCAGCCCCACATACTGAATCAGACTCCACACTTCGATCATGATCCCTGGTGGTCCATGTGTATGAAGAGGTGTTGTTCCAGAGCAGGGGCTGACAAGATTTTTCTGGAAAGGGCCCAAGAGCGAGTATCTGGGTCCCTGTTGCTACTCCTCAGCAGAGCCATTGCGGCTCAAGAGCAGGGGCAGCCCCGGACCCCGCATAAAGAAGCCCCAGGTTTCTCCAGCCCCTTCCTGTGTTCTGAACAAACCTTGATGCAAAAGCGGGTTTGTTCAGAACACAGGTAGGGGTTGGGCGCCCAGGCTGTCACGCAGACTCCTGGCCCGGAGGCCTGGCTCTGGGGCTCGGTGTTTTCCGATTGTAGCAGCAGGTCTAGCAGGGCAGGGGGGCCTACGTGGGAACACTCGGAGCCCCTGTGTCAGGCAGGCAGCAGCTCCTTCACTGGTTTACTTGTCTGCTCTCACCCAGAGGTTCTTCTTAGCGACCCGGTCAGTTTGAAAGGCTCAGCTGCAGGTGATGGGGTGTTGTCTGGGGCCGGCCAGGTCCCGCGCTGCTCCTGAGGCTTGCCTTTCTCTAGAGGACGAGAAGGGGACGAACCCCTTGAAGCACACGGAGGTGTTCTGCTCCATCACCTCCCGCTCCCTCCTCTCCCCGAGCTATTACCACAGCTTCGGCGTCACCGAGAACCACATCGTTTTCCTTGAGCAGCCTTTCAAGCTGGATATCCTCAAAATGTCAACCGCGTACATCCGGGGAGTGAACTGGGCCTCCTGCCTGGCCTTCCACAAGGAGGACAAGGTAAGGCCTGGCTGGGACCCCCAGCCACATGAGGACAGCCCAAATGAGGTATCCCAGGAAGCAGACTGACATGGAGTTTGGCATGCAGGCGTTTTCCTAGGGAGCGAGGGTGGGAGCTACCATGCAGTCTCCCCAGATTCATTAGCTAACCTTCCAGAGAGTTCTGAAACTGGATGGTCCTGCAGAGTGGTCCCAGGTGGGGACAAGGGGGCTGGGACCCCAAGTCACTGAGTCAGTAGAGCAGACTGTCCCTGTCTGAAAAGCGTGTGACCTCAGGCAAGCTGGCTCTCATCAGCCAGGCCACTAGCACCAGCCCAGCAGCCAAGGGCTACTCCTCAGTCCTGACCCACATCTGGGCTCCTTGCAGCTTGCACCGTCCATGGACAAGGCCCTTCTGGTGTCCCGGCAGCCAACGGGTAATGTCAGGGAGGGGTGCTGGAGATGATTTAGACATCTTAATGATAGAACATTCCACCACATGGTACAACCAAACCTCTTCAGGCACACCGGAGTGTTCCAAGTGTGGATGTGTGCGTATGTGCGTGTGCCTGTTGTGCATGTGCGTGCCTCTGTATACGAGTGTGTGTGTGCACACCCACATATGTATGAATATGACTGAATCTGTGCTTGGATATGTGTGTATGAATATATCTACTTCCTGTTGAAATGAGTAAATTTTTACTTGTGATAAATATCAAGCAATTCTTAGTGTTCTCTATTCGAATGCTATACAAGAAGAGAAAGTCACCTGTCAGTCCCCTGTCCTCCCCCTTGCTGCCACCAGTCTCCTCTCCAGAGAGAACCACCACTATGCAGCTCTAAGACCTCTCCTTTCTTCTCAGGGAGGAGTGTGAGGTCCCTCCTCTGCTCAGAACATTCTAGTGATTTCCCATCTTCCTAAGAAAAAGATCCAAAAACTTCACTGACCAGCCTGCAAATCCTCGCAGGCCCACATCCCAACCACTGGCTCCCTGCTCACTCAGCCTCCTCCTGGACTTCCTGTATCTCAAACCAGCCTAACACCTTCCTGCCTCAGGGCCTTTGCATTTTCTGTTCCTTCTACCTGGAATGTTCTTCCCCAGATGGCTTCCTCCCTCTGTTAATCCACGTCCCAGCTAAATCTCCAGATCCCTGAGGCCTTTTGTGATAAACCAGTCTCCAACAGACCCCGCCCCAGGCTTCTCCATTCCCTTGCCTGGCTTCATTTTTCTCAGTAGTGCTCACTGTCCTTGGCACATTATCTCATCATTGACTGCTGGCCTCTCCCCCACCGGACTTATAAGCTCCATCAAAGAAGGGCCTTGGTTTTAGTCTGTGTTTCCTGGAAAAATATTCCTGAAAAATTGTCTGATGTGTCCTAGACCCTCCGTCTATATTTGTGGAATGAACGCTGGGGCCAGGGGCCAGCAGGGAAGCCAGCTGGAGTTGGGTTTGGTCTTCAGGCCCTGGACATTTCTTGGCCCTCAGAGAATCCCACAGTGAGAAGACCGAGCTCCTTGCTAGCGGCAGGCAGAAAGCCCTGGGAAGAGCTTTTGGAATGCGTTTAGAAGAGAGCTTTCTGGAAAGTCCCTGTGCCCAACCCAGGGATTGGGGTCATGGGAAAGAAAAGAGCTAAAATAATTCTATATTCACCTGCCCACCACCCCTACCTCCCACACTGTCAAAGCCTTCCTCCTCTGTAATTCCACTTAATGTTCAGAGCTGGATTCTGGGGAAGGAGAGAAAGAGGCACATGAGCTGGGAGGAGGTGGCCAAAGAACAGCCCGGAGTAGTCCCTCCCTGCCTTTCAGGAGGAGGGTGGTTAGTCCAGAACTGCCAAAAGAAAGAACCCCACACATACTTCAGATTAGGCAACTGGGGTTGCAGATATGGCTAATTACCACCCAGAGTGATACCGCCTCCTGACACCCAGAGGTGTGAGCAGATACCTATGTGGGCCCCTTAACTAGAACAGGTCTCTCCACATCACAGCCCCCAGGATAAGGGAGTTTGCCATGACAACTGCTTTCTGGCAAACCAGGCAGCAGGTGGACACCGGGAGAGGCCCCAGAAGGGCTGGTGTGATTTTAGGGTTTTAGGGGCCCTGGCTGTGGGTAGACCCAAGGGGGGCTAGAGGACTGGCCAGTTTCTCCCCCACATGGCCATTGCCAGGCACCAAGCTCATCCCAGCCTGGAGTCACAGTGAAGTGAAGGAAGGGAGGGACGGTGTACCCTCAGGGGCTTCCCCCAGACTCTGTCCTCCTGGGGATGCAGAGGCCCCTGCAGCAAAGCTTCCCTCTGCTCCATCTGAAGGAGGTGATCAGGGACCGGCGAGAGCAGAGAACTCTGGGGGAGGGGAATGCTTCAGGGTCACGTGCTAATGGACTGTAAGGCTGGGTCTTGTCCTGTACCCACTGCCATTGTGCCATGTCAGCACAGGGAGAGCTGACCCCTGGCTGTGCCTCTGCTTTCAGACTTACATTCACGTCATCGACCAGAGGACCAGGAAGCCTCTGCCCACCAAGTTTTACACGGACCCCGTGGTGGTCTTTCATCACGTCAACGCCTACGAGGAGGACGGCTGCCTTCTGTTTGACGTCATCACCTACGAGGACAGCAGCCTTTACGAGCTCTTCTACTTGGCCAACCTGAACCAGGACTTTGAGGAGAACTGCAGGCTCACCTCCATCCCCACCCTCAGGAGGTTCGCCGTGCCCCTCAGTGTGGACAAGGTAATGGCTCAGAAGGGGACCCCTTTCATTCCCAGGGAGTCGTGAGCCCCAGTGGGGAGTGACTTTGGCACTCATTTGATTGACACTGAAATCCAAAATGAGCTGTTCTTGAAGACAAAAACAGGCTTTCATTGTTTTTCCTAAAGTGGTGCATATTCATCATAGAAACCTAAGAAAATACCAATTAGGTAAAAAGGAAACAAACAAAAACCTCATGAACCTATTGTGGATATATTTCTGTTGCCTCCCACATGTCTCTCTGTTGCTCTCAGTAGATAGACAAACACATACTGACACACATGTTGATGTGTCTGTGTTTATGTGTATATGATACACATGCCTATGGATACATGTCTCGATAAAGCTGTTAAAAATTCTGTGTAGTAGGACTTCTCTAAAACTTAGAAATGCATATTTATATTTTATATATTGCTTAATTTTAGAGAAGGAAATCACGGAGAATTTTTAACAGCTTTATTGAGAGATAATTTCACACACCATACATTTAAAATGCACCATACAGCTGCTTTTAGTAACTTCACAGAGTTGTGCCAGCAACTGGATTTTAAAACCTTTTTATTAGCCCGGGAAGAAACCTTGCACGCCTCCCCCTAGTCCCCTTCCCCGCTCCTTCCCGCAGCCCCAGGTGAGCACTCATCCACTTCCTGTCTCAGACGCCCTGCCTGTTCCAGACACGTCACACACGCGCCAGGTGCTCTCCCTCCACACCGTGTTTTCGAGGCCCGTCTCCGCAACAGCGCACACCAGCCCTTCCTTCCTTTTCATGGTGGAATATGCATGTACTGTTTTGTGCACTGCTTTTTTCCACTTATGTGGATATCCAAACATCTCTCCGTGACATTCAGTATTCTTCTACAACATCGTTGGAAACATTTGCATGGCGGTTCCAGACTGGGATTCATCACTATTCACTTACCTAATGCCTGCTGGTGATGAGTCCCCTTCTTGCATTAAAGATGACCACTAGGCCAGACATTATCCTCAATTAGGGTGATGCTACCGAGGCTCCGGGCTTGGTTTCAGAGGCTACAGAGATTCCTGGCTCCAGAACTCACTGACTTCATGACTTAATTAATTTAAATGAAAGCAAATTCAATTCAACTCAATTTTGATGGCTCCTATTTACTGAATGCACTCTATGCGCCAGCTACTTTGCTAAGCATTTTATTTTCCTTGCCTCAGTTAGGGATCAAAACAACCTATGGGAGAGGTCCTCACATTAGTCTCATTTTACAGGTAAAGCAACTGAGGCTCAGAGAACTTAAGGAATATGCGCAAGGTCACACAGCCCCCAGGGACAGAGCCATGATTAGCAGAGGTCTGAAGCTCTAGCCAGATACTGTTGCTTGCCAAGAGTTAATCTCTTTGTTAAAAAGAAAGTTCTAGAAGTATGAGGTGTTAAAGACATAGTGGCACCTCACTGAGACTCTCTGCTTGACCCAGTCAGAAAGACTGGAAGAGAAATGGAATGAACTTCCTCCCCATGTGGTTCAGGGCTATTGAATGAATGGCTGCCTTCCACGAAGTCATCACGTGGCACTGCCCTCTGTGGCCTGCTCTCTGGACCATACTGCAGTGCCTTGCTCGGTCTCCTGGTTCCAGGAAACAGTGGGGGTGTCACAGAGCACACAGGTGGCAATTCCCGAGGCCTGGCCCTGCCTCACACTGACCTCAGCCCAGGGATGAAACAGAGAAAGGAAACGCTCCCTCCCACTGCCCACACACGGAGGGATTTTATAACCTTTTATCATGCTTGAAAAATGATTCGCTTCCTTGGAACCAGGCTAAGAAGTTCAGCATGTATATTTTGAAAAGCTGCCGTGTGAGCCATCTACTGCTTTGAAACTAACAAAGAAGTGTGAGCCCTGGGAAGGGTAGCTCTGGCCACGCTGTTTAATTGCTATTTATTGTCCCTTAAAACATCTTCTTGTTTCACTTTCAAGTTGCCTTCCTGCATAGTGAAATCGAAAAGCTGAACAGATGGACATGGCAGACATGTCCAGATCTGGCAGCTCTAATTCTGTCCTATCCAAAGGCTTTTTAGGACAGATGGTGGGAGACGCCACGTTTCTCTGGCACCCATCAGTCCGGGGCCTTTGCAAGTCCCTGTCCCTCTGCCTACAACACTGTCCTCTTTGTATCAGGCCTCGCTTCCCGTCTGGGCTTCAGGTTGGACTCAGCTGGGGGCTCTGAGACCACACCTGGGCTGGGCCGTGGGGGTCGGGAGGGCGGGGGCGTGGTCTCAGCCTGCAAGGGCTTCTAATTTGCGTGAGTCTAGCAAATTCCTGCTCCGCCTTTAGGCGTCAGGATCATCACTCCCTTTAGAGGAGTTTGTAAGTTCTGATAGCACCTGAATTTCCTTGCTGGACATTTGTCCCAGGGAAATGAGCTTGTTCAGTCATCTGCCCTGGGAAAGCTTCGACAAGCTCTTGGGCTTGTCAGCGGTTTATCCCCTAAATCTGTCACAGGGCCTGGCACTCAAGAGGGTTCTCATTAAACTCCTAACTACTGTAAACCCATGAACGAATGGTAAGTGGGTGAGAAATGTGACGGGGGTTCCCTAAAAGGACACGGGTCTCTCTATAGCATTTGGAACATTTCCCAAGTGGAAGTGCTTTCCGCATAGAATGGGCAGTAGTGAAGTATATTTAAAAGTCTGGGACCTCCCAGCTGCCCCAGATTCTCTTGTGTTTGGGCCAGCTGGGGTCAAAGGAAGGTGGGGCCCCTTGGCACTCTAGGCCTGTTGATGCAGGGTGGCACAGGGTTGTCTAAGGTGGGGCTGGGCTGGGAGGGGCGTGGACGTGTACAGACAGTTCGGGTGGCTGCCCTGCCCTCCTCCTGCCGGGCTCGGAGCATTGCCTCCAGGTGGGTTCATAAGCACTGGCCTTCCCTTCCAACAGCTAGCCATGTGTAAGGGGCCATCATGGGCGGAGGCACTGCGGACAGGTAGTTTCAACTCCTGGCTCAGTAGATTTGGTTTTTGTCTTGACCCCAAGTTCAAAAACAAAGACCTATTAATAGAAGAAGCTGCCATTTACTGAGAGCTCATTATATGTCAGGCCCTGTGTTAGATGCCTTTTTTCTTCTTAGACCCCAGCAGGAGGGGCCCCTGCTCTGACCTTGACATTTGGGGGAGGGGCTGCTGATCCAGCCTTTCCTTGGCAGGGTCCCTTCCTCACAGATTGAGGACTTCAGAGAGCCCAAGAGCTGTGCCCATCCGGTGAGGTAACTTCCCCTGCCTCAACCATGAACCAGCTACTGGGATCCCTAAATTCTCTTCCCAAATAGCCCCAAGACTGCTTCCAGCTCCTGCTTCTCTCTTCCTAAAAGCAGGCTGTGCCACTGGTGTACTGGCCTCAGACCCATGAGGCGGCCAGGGTTAGCTATTGGCTTGGTCGCGCTGGCTGGGGATCTGGGCAGTGAGAAGAAACAGGGCAGAGAACAAAGAACCTGGGCCCAGAGGCTGGCCCTCATTCTGCCACCCTATTCTGGCTCGGAACTCCAAGGAGTCCTAGAATTCCAAATTCACACATCCTTCCAGACCAGCACCGTGCAAAAGAATCCATTGCAATGATGGAACATTCTCTGTCTAATGCAGTAGCCACTAGCCACACGGGCCAATGAACTGTGGCCAGTGCAGCTGAGGAAGTGGATGTTTAATTGTATAATTTTAAGTTAAATGTAAATAACCGCATGTGGTCAGTGTTTCCCATATGGGACAGCGCACTTCCACATTATGAAGGTCTCCGTATCAAGATGGGGGAGAGAATGGAGTCTCACTTAACAGTGTGCTCAGTGTATTTAGACATTGGGTTGGTGGGTCTCCACTCTTGTCCTGGGTCCTGCAAATTTTAGGAACTGTTAAATGCTTTGCATGCTTCTCACCTCGTTAGTAGGACACCCCTCTGTGTTGCTTATTACCCCCATGACTACAGATGAGAGACGAAGTAAGTTGCCCAACATTGCAGGAATATCTGTGGGGTTTGAGTTGGGATTTGAATGCATGTCGTTCTGGCTCTGAGTTACTGACTATGATGTACCTGGCCCTGGACCAGGTGTTTTCATGACTATTATTTAATTATAACCATAATCTTCAGGTATCAGTCAAAGCAACCCCAGTTATGGTCACCACCCATCAAAAAGTAATGAATTGCCCCCATATTCTACAAACCAGGAAACAGGCTCAGGGAGGCTTAGGGGCTGAGGTTGGGGAGATGCTGTTCAAGTTCACACAGAGACCCGCAGAGTCCGATTTCACGGACTGGGCTTCCAAACCCCAAAGCCAATGTTTTGGGGAATTACCACGATGGCTGTTGCTTCCGGGAGTTCCCTCAAGTTGAGGGATTTCAAAGCAAACTGTAGGATCTTGTTGACATTGGGCTAGAAAGCTCTTCTCAAAGCTGAGCACGTGGCCACCAAAAGCAGCCGAGTCATGTTTATTACCGCTGTGTGGAAAAATTCAGTTTATCCCTCAACCAGTCTGACCAGTTTCAAGCTGGAATTAGAAGATGTCTCTGTAGACGGACTCCCTGCGATGCAAGCCCAGGGCATGCACAACATGCCTGTTGCTGTCAGGTGACTTAGCAAAGCACCAGACAGCCTCCGCTGGTCTGTACGGGTACGGATGGATGCACTCAGAGCTTCTGTTTACAAGACACCACCGATGTGCTGAGTGCCGGGCGACTTTTTCCACACATTTCATCTCATTTAATTCCTACAACCATCCGGCACAGCACATGTTTTGCACCTTGACAGTGGAAGGAAAGCTTATTGAGTCATGCATTCGCTCATTCATTCAGCGGTTACTTTCCGGTGTGTGCTTTCAGCTCTGTGCCATGCACCGGACAAAATCTGGTCCCAGTCTAAAAGGGGAAGACAACATAAAAGAAGGAAGAAACTCCATACAGGAGATAATGACAGCTCAGGACAAATCCCTTGGCAACATTGCAGACGGAGTTGCTGGGGAAGGAGAATTTGCACAGAGACCTACAGAATGGGAATGGGCCAGCCTCACAGCCTTAGCACCTGCCTTGCCTACAGTGTTCTTGCTTCCAAGCAGAAGAACTGCGAAGCGAAGGGCCCAGACTCTCCTTCCCTCTGTGTGGCTGTGGGCAGGCCTCTTTCCTTCTCTGGGCCTTATTTTCCTCTTCTGTCAATTGAGGGATTGAACTAAACAAATCTCAAAGGGCCCCTGCAGTTCAACTGCTAGGACGCAGCAAATCTGTCCCCCTTCCCAGCAAAAAGCTGATCTCATTCAAATAGGCTTCTTTTAATTATAAAATTCCATTTAGAAAAATTTGGAAAGTAGAGAAAAATTTACGTGAGAAGAAGTCAGCCATAACAGTAATTCTCAGCCTGTAAACTCCATGAAGGCAGGGACTCAATCTTACTTCTCCTTCATTGCCAAACCTGCACTTGCCCCAATGGTAGTAACATCATTATCATCATCATCATCAAAATGATGTAGGGGTGCGTGGATGGCTCAGTCGTTTAAGCATCTGACTCTTGGTTTTGGCTCAGGTCCTGATCTCAGGGCTGTGAGATCTGAGCCCTTTGCTGGGCTCCTCACTGAGTATGGAGTCTCCTCGAGATTCTCTCCATGTCCCTCTGCCCCTCCCACTCCCATGCTCATGCTCTCTCTCTCTCCGTAAAATAAATCCTAAAAACAGCAACAACAACAACAACAGTAACGTTATCAGCTGCTGCTAACATTTATTTAGCACTGACTGTTAAGGAAACCCTCTTGCAAACCGTCTGCATGATTATTTAATCTGCACAACAACTTGGAGATGTGTGTACTCTTTGCATGATGCATCCACTGAAACTTATTATACAAATGAGGACACAGAACTCTCCAGAGATACTAAGTCACTTGCTCGAGGCCCCATAGCTGGTATGTAGGGAAACAGGGAGTAGTAGAACCCCAGTAAATATCGAATCAATTGTTTTAAATCCCTCTCCTGGGTTACTGTGATGATGGTAAGACACCGAACAAAGTCTGATTATAAGCTGAGACCAAGGAATGCCCTCCACAGATCCTTCACTCCCAAGCCATTCTTAGTGCCTATTTGTTGTCATTTCAGCAGTGGTATATTTTCACAGGAGAAAATTCTAAAAATACAGATAAGCATAGAAAAATAAAGTCCCCATAATTCCACTGCCTGCTGTCTTATTAATAATTGGTGTCTCCCCCAGGATCTTTTCAGTGTAAGTTCTTTTTAAGTTGATTGAGCTCAGACTGCATATGCAATTTACTCTACTGCTTTTCTCGGTATTCTACCATGAGCATTTCCCATGTTATTATGAACGCTTTATAAACATCCTTCTGATGACCGATGCAGCCAGCCTTCCCTGCAGGAAGGGAATCAGCCAGTATTTAAAAAGCGAGAACCTACCAATACATTAATTTCACCCGTGAAAGATAAGATAGCCCAGAGTCGGAGAAAAGAGCCATGAGTCTAGGGACCCCTTCCTACCAGTAGGTAGCTATCAGTTTACGAGATCTCAGAGAGTAAGAATAAAAACACCAGCAATGTAATAGCTGCTTCCTGGGGCTCACGTGAGGCCAGAACAAGATGACATCCACTAAAGCACTTGTTTTATGACATATCCAGTAAAACAAGTGTTTGCTCTGGATAACCCGTTTCCAATTTTTTTTTTTAAACTCAGAATGCAGAAGTGGGCTCAAATTTAATCAAACTGACATCTACAACAGCAAAAGCCCTGAAGGAAAAAGATGACCAAGTCTACTGCCAGCCAGAGTTGCTTTATGAAGGTAAAACACATCCTCTTTGCAAGACACCTAGGGAGGGGGCAGGCTTTTGTGAATTCCCCTGAGACCTCTCTCTACCTCCTTCTGATGCAGAGGACCTGTGCCCGGACAAGGGACAAACAGGAAGACTCTTGGGGTGCCCCAGCAGAAAGCAATGGGCGACAGTTCTCTTTCAAATATCTTCAAACAGCTCCTAGGAAGGCACTGGGGTGGGGGGTGGTTGTTGGATCAGGTGATTTTCAAGGCTGGTCTCTGCAAACATTCTGATTTATTGAATGCTGACTTACTGAACAGGGACGGTGTGTCTGCACTTCCATTTCTATACCTTCAAAACACCCTGCAGAACAGGGGCCATCAGCCCCATTCAATGGAGGAGGAGATGGCTCAGAAAGGCTATGCTCCACGCAGAGTGTAAACCCCTCCAATAGGAGTTGCACCCATGAGAGCAGGCTTCTCAACCTGGGCACCCCTGATGTTCGGGGCTGGGTCATGCTCTGTGCTAGGGGCCATCCTGGGCACTGTAGGATACTAAGCAGCACCCCTGGCCTTGACTGTAAGCACCCACACCCTGAATTAGAACAACCAAAAACATGTCCAGACATTGCTGGTGTCCAGTGGGGGCACCATCACCCTGATGGAGAACCACTGCCCTAGAATATAAGCCTCAGTGTATCCCCAGATGTGACAAAAGTGTGGCTTAGCGGCGTCTCTGCTCAGCACAGGTGTGGAATGAATGGACTTGTCCAGGACACTTGCTAGAGGGAGGCTGGGCATGGCTCAGCTTTGCTCCCACGTTGGCTGCTGCCAGGTTCATGCATCTGGACGGAAACTGTCCTGGGGACTTTGTTAGACCAACTGCAGATTTGCCCATAAGAACCACTGCTATAAAACAGCATTCTAGGATCCTGTAACCGGTTCTGTGTGGCACCCCAGGCACTGGGAGGATTTGGAAGTGAATATGTAGGTCTTGGTCCTACTTTCCCCCCCCCCCCCAAGGTTTTACTTATTTATTTGGCAGAGAGAGAGAGAGAGCACCAGCAGGTAGAGTGGGAGGCAGAGGGAGAGGGAGAAGCAGGGTCCCAGCCAAGCAGAGAGCCCCACGTGGGGCTTGATCCCAGGACGCTGGGATTACGACCTGAGCTTAAGGCAGACACTTAACTGATTGAGCACCCAGCTGCCCCCTGGTCCTGGTTCTTAAGGCTGGCTGCCTTAAGACGATGACTTGCATCTCCACTCACTTGCTACATGGTAGGGGCAGATGGAGGGTTAAAATGCTGTGGTCTTTTTTATATCCAAGAAGAGAATTCTTGCTTATTGTGGCAATCTTGGGCAATGCTGAAAAGTACGACAACAGACGGATCCCTCATAATCCCTCCACCCGTGGCAACACTTTGGAAATACCTGTTGTGTTTCTGTCATGTCTGGGTTGCTTGGCGTATGTCAGGTCCTCTTCTAGAACTTCCCAGATCTCACCCTGCCAGTCTCACCCCATTATCCTTGACATTAGATGAGTTCGCACACATAGCGTGCTTTACCAAGGGCCTGGCGCATACTGAGAGTCCAGCACAAGGTAGAAGTTATCAGAACAACTCTGGGAGGTAGGTGTTGGCACATGTCATTCTCGTTTTAGAGCTGAGGACAGCAAAACTGAGGATAATTCCATAACTTGCCCAAAGATAGGCAGCAGAGCCAAAACCTGAACCTAGGTCTCTTGGACTCAAAAACCCTTAACCTCTGCACTTACAGTTTTACAAAATGCAGACATACTGTACCATCTAGAATATTCTGAAATGGCTTCTTCCACTGAATGAATATAGCCTGAGAATTTCCCAGATCCTGAAGATTCTTCAAGAGCATGGTTTCAACAACCTCACAGAATTCACGGGGGTAAAGCCCATTTTACTTAACCAAGTACCAGAGGCTGATCATTGACAGGGTGGAGGTAAGGGGGGGTGGCAGTCCCTAGACCAGGTTTGAGGTCCAGGAACACCATGGAAAGTCTCAGAGGCACTCTGGGGCCAACTGTGGGCACCTTTTTCTGGTTTCAGTATGTGGGTGGTCCCTTCAGCTCACAGTCACTGTGACCTATCTCTTGAAATTTTCATGATTACTTGTCTGAGGGCCTGGACATCTCCGCGCCTTAACAGGCCATTCCCCTGCACTCCCCGCAAGCCTGATAACCTCTTATGCCTCCTTTTTAGGAGGCCTCTGTGTGGCAGATTTTCCACATCTTCTTCCTCTTTTCTTGGACATTACATTTTCACCAGCAGTGGGCTCCGATGGGGGATTTTCATTTCAGCCCTCAGACTTAGAAATTTAATTTGCCCCCACAGGCGCATACACACACACACACACACACACACACACACACACACACACACACTTTTTAGTTTTTTTTAATTACAAAAGTAATAGACATAATGAAAATTTCATGTAATGAGAAACCTAGAGTGTACAATATAAAATACAAACTATAAGGAAGTTATTATCCCAGTAATGCTTCTGAACCCTTTCTCTACATTTGCAACATAGTGGAGATAATACTAGAATCAGCCTTCTACAGTTTGTCTTATGATATTGGCACTTTCCCATGTTATTAAAATTCTTTGCAAACATTAGTTTTACTTAGGTGACTATGTGAATTCGCCAGATTTATTTAACTATTCCTGATGGACACCCCTTTCCATGGCTTCAGAGTTTTTTTCCACACCCCCACACATGTACACACGTACACGAGCGCTTTTTTTTTTTAAAGAGCTTTAAAAAAATTGCAGTAGCCTCTGATTCTAATCATGCAATTCTTTTTGATTTCTATCTTGGATAATTAAAGATGCTTATACACTTAAAAAACAAGGTCTATCTTTCCTTGCTTCTGAACCTTCTCATAGAGCCAGGGTAATTATCAGAGGTTCCCTCCCCCTGCACTGTTACCAACCTTGATCTAATCCAGGCCCTGAAGCAAGTTCAGCGATCCTGGATTGGGAGCTGTTTTTGTGGACAGGACGCCGAGTCTGGCATGAAGGGTGGAGGCTCCCAGTCCTCAGCGATGGGGGCTTCACTGGCTGTGTCATTCTCTCCAGGCTTAGAGCTGCCTCGGATCAATTATGCTCGAAATGGGAAGCGATATCGCTACGTCTTTGCTGCCGAAGTTCAGTGGAGTCCCATCCCAACCAAGGTACTGATCCCTATGTGAGTTGGGCTGGCGCGCCCTACGACGATTGTGTCTGCCTGCAAAGCTAAACTCTAGGTTCTCAGACTGGGTGACCTTGATCAGAAAAAGGAGGTCCCTTTGGGGCAGAGGGCAGATCAGAGAGTGAAGTCCGTTTGGGCGGAATACCATGGAAGCGGTGATGGGCCATCCGAGAGAGGCAGCCCTATCTGATGGACAAAGAGATCTCAGCAAAGAGGTCAGAGCTGTAGGTCATCCATTGATTTCTTTATTCAATACATGTTTATTGAGCACCAATTATGCGACAGCATGGTGGCAGTAAGGATAAGGAGGTGAACAGGGCGATCCCAGTCCCTGCCCCCAAGGAACCTGCCCTTTCAAGCAGAGGGCTGAAACTTAGACCCTTTAGTTATTTTTACTTGTTACTATTTGTTGAACACTTACTGTACCCCAAGGACTGTGTTAAGTGTACAGACATCACTTGTCTTTAATATCATTTTTAATAATAAATGGAATATCTTTTCTAAAAAAAGCAAGCATTGCAGAAATGTGCAAAGCAAAAAAATTAGGGTTCACACACACACTCCCCACTAATCCCACACCCCAAGGGGAAACATGTCTATTAGGGATTAAGAGAAGTCCAGGGACTTGCACTTTTTAAAACAACAAAAGGATCGTATTACACTTTAAATGTTTGCATTGAAGACATTCATTTATTCAACACATACAAAAATGGCAGTGTAGCGCCAAATACCAGATACATTCAGGCTTTTGTTTGTTTGAACAACCATTTTTATTCCATGAGATTCAAAACATTTTATAAAAGAGTACGTGAAAGGTCTTTTTAATGAGTGTTTCTTAGGATATTTAAAGTCAAGAAGTCATCCCTAAAAGCCTGAATCATCCAAGAATGCTGGGTGACTCAGTCAGGATTTTTATTTTTTTAAAAATTCAGTATGTAAAAAATTTTATTTAAAAAAAATTGGATGACAGGAGGGCCTTTGCTTTAAAATGCAAGAGGAAGCTCGCTGCTTTCATTTCTGGTGCTACACTGACCCTAGGTAGATGGCATTTGGAGTCCACGCTGGAGGGGCTGGATCCCCTCTGTCTGTGGGCACTGATGTCACCAGTTCCCAGGGAATGAACGTGCTCTCCAACAAGTCACTCCCATGTCTCTCCTCTTTGGATATACAGATACTGAAATACGATGTTCTCACAAAGTCATCCTTAAAATGGGGAGAGGAGCATTGCTGGCCAGCAGAACCCCTCTTTGTCCCCACACCGGGTGCTCAGGACGAGGATGATGGTAAGACTCCAGGAAGGGGAGCCCACTTGCCACACTCTGCTTGTGATCACTCTTCAAACAGAGACATCGTCTGGGAGCAGTGTGACCCTCCCTCTCCAACCCCCGTGTCACAGAGCTGGTGGAAACAGGCTTTGAAACTCAGGTCTGTCTGAGTTCAAAGCAGTGAGTTTAAGGAGTCCCTCAAAACACCCTCACTTCTGACACCAACTGCAAGTTGAGGGGTCTCTAAGACCACCCTCAATGTCGATAGAAGGATGCATAGAACACACTGAAAACTGTTCTGTTCATGGTTACGGTTTGTCATAGTGAAAGGACTGTAGGTTGAAAGAAAAGTTACCCATGGGACAGAATCCAGGAGAATTCCATTCATGGAGTATCTGGTTGTCCCTGGAGGTCACAGCCAACCCCAACTCCTCCAACAATATCCATGAAATGTCACCAACCAGGGAAGCTCACTCAAGCCTTCATGTAGGAGCTTTTTTAGGGGATCGGTCATATAGTCATGGTTGGTTGGCTATGTGGTTGACCTTTGGCCTTCAGCCTCTCTGGAGGTCAAAGTGACATCTAAATCACTTTGCTAGGAAAGATCATCAGGCTGGTCCCAGGTAAATAAAGATACTTTTATGAGGCAGGACATTATAAGGGCTTAGAGGTCACCTCCTAGGAGCAAAGATCAGACTTCCCTTTGGGGGCCATTAAATTGTTTACTACACAAAAGCCCACTTCCTTTCTACTTTCATATTCATTGCAATGGCTGGGGCAGAATTCTTAACCATCTCTAAGCATGTATTTTCTGCATGGAGCACCTGCAAATGTGTATTTGTGGCCCACCTCCCTTTTCTAGATTTCCACATGACCAAATGGTCCTTTTCCTCCTTGATTCTGCCTCTGCCCCAAAAATCCCTGCCCATACTCCTGGGGATGCTAAGGAGGGCCACCAGAACCATGGCTGGGGCTGTCCCACTGAGCTGCCAGCTGCTTCCCTTCGGTGACATGGAGTGGATTTCTGCCTGGGCCCTGTCTTCCTACTGGACCCCCATGGCATGGCACGCCAGGCGGCAGACCCCACGGTCCTGTCATCTCTGAGGTGGGAGGTTGTTGGCAGCACCTCCTGCTGAAGCTGGCCTCCCGCTGGGCTGGCCCAGGGCTTCCCTCCATTCTCTTGTGGGCAGGGAGTAGCAGTGTCTTCGTTTCCCCAAAGCAGAGGCTGAGGGAATGCAACTTCCCTAAGGCCACATACCCAGTGCCTACAGAATTAGGATTTTAATCCAAGCCCATCTGACTTCAACTAGGCTCAACCACCCTGAGACCCAGGAGGCTTTGGGAGGAATCACGAGTAGTTGCTGGAAGTTTAGGGGCATTATTTCATTTAATCCTCTGTCCCTTGAGAGCGAGTACTTGGAATATGTCCATTTTACGGAGGGAAAGGCTGAGGCTGCTAGCGTGCTGCATGTGCATACAGTGGGCTGGGCTCATTCAAATGTCGTTGAGTGCGGCTCGTCTGAGTTTAGCCAAGTGCCATATGTTAGCCCAATGCAGCACAAAACTGATTCTCCATAATGAGACTTTCTAAGTCATAGGCAAATAGCCATCCTCCAATGCAGGCAGTACTCTACAGAACGCGCTCATTACTCACCATGCAAGAGGTTCTCTCAGCAACCGGGGAGGGCAAGGAGGATTCGCCTTACTCTGCAGATGAATGGACTAAGGTTCAAAGAGGTAAAGGGACTGGCCCCGGCAGGGCTGGAACCAGGTCTTCTGATTCCTACTTCCCTGACCAGGGAGATACAGCTGAGGAACTTCCCCCTCCAGCTGGAGGAGATTTAAGTCTGCATTTTTACCAAGTGTCTCTTTTTGTTTCCCCCAAAGGGATTATCCTATCAGCCATCGTCTCTACCGATCCCCAAAAGCTGCCTTTTCTGCTTATTCTGGATGCCAAAAGTTTTACAGAATTGGCTCGTGCATCCATCGATGTAGAGATGCATCTGGACCTCCATGGGTTATTCATCCCGGACACAGACTGGGACGCGAGGAAGCCGGCCCTTTCCCAGGAAGAGCGGGATAGGGCTCCAGACAGCTGCGTGGTCCCGCAGGCCTGACTGGGGTGGGGCCTGGGCCCTGGGCCCTGGGCAGAAGGGCTCCACTGGCAGGCTCCTGCAGGACTGCGGGCTGCCTTCCTCTCTGGGTGAAGGGGAGGTCCTTCATTTCGTTTGCACTTCTTCTTTCTGTGGTTGCTTTGAGACAAAGGTGTGGAAATAGTGCTTGTTGGTATCTTTTCTTTCCACTTATTTTGGCCATAAAGACCTTGTTTGAAAGTGGATAAATATTTATTGATTAGCTCAAGCCCTTCTAAGAAAGCCTCTTTCATTATGACAAGGACAGTGACTAGAAACTGTACTAAGTCACATAGTCAACCTTCTTAGAATGAGCAACCACTGACATCTCAGAGGAGAGAGAAGTAAACATTCATCACTCCTCCTTCCTGCCGCCCCTTCTCACCCTCTTTCCAGTAGACTAGCTCGTGGGTCTAGGAGCTGTAGCTTTCTCCACCGTGACTTTAGTAAATGATGTGGCCAGGAAGGCATATTGCTTTGGGGTCATTCCACGCAAGGCATGGCATAATTTAAAATAATAAAAACTTTAAAGTCTGTTCCAACCTTATTTAATTTTTCCATGGCTTCTTTCTTCTGAAGTTCTTCTAAGGCAATAAAATAGAGGAGCTGGACAGTTTGTAGCCTGCTAGACGCCCCACTGTACACCCGCTGGGACGGCAGACTGGTGGGCATCCCCCTCTGCAGGACAAGGGTGAGGGGCTGGACACTCACCCGACTTGCCATGGCCAGGGGGCTAGAATCCAGGATTGAGGCCCAGGCCTGGGCTGGCATGAGGAGTTCTTGCCTAAGGCTGAGAACGAGGGCAGTGAGCCATCCCACTGTCTGTACGGGAAAGGAGGTTCCCCAAGCTGAATGCGCTGCCAGGATGGGCTAGGTGTCTGCACAGAGGTGGTGGTAGCGACGGTGGAAGCTGGGAACAAGCCCAGAAGCATCCCAAGTGAGCACCGGGAGCTCCACGGATGGTCGAGTCTCACCTTTGTGGTCTAGTGGGTGCCTGGTTTAGACACCCAAACGCAGGCTGGATCATTCCAACATGCCCATGTCATAGCGTTGGGGGAGCTGGGAGCCCACCCTTATTCTGCACCTGCCTCCTGCCGTAGGTCTGAATTTCATTCGGTCACCGGTGTGGGTTCAGTGACATGTCTTGAGGGCAGGAAGGAATCTCTGGCGACACTGCATGGAGTACCCCAGAGGGGCAGCCCTCTCAAGGGTAGTCTTAGCTTTTGCCCTCTGGCCACCATGAAGCCATACTTAGCTCGACTCACATGTAGGCTCCATGTGGTCTGGGGTTTGGGTTTTGTTTGGACATTTTTATTGGCCTAATTGTAGATTCATGTGCAGTTCTAAGAAACAATACAAAAGAGATCCTGCAAGGACTTTACCAGGTTTTCCCTGGAAAATGCTGCAGCATTGTAGTACAGCAGGACGACCCGGACACTGGTTCAGTCCACAGATCTTTTCAGATCTCTCATTCAGATCTCTCATCTGGTACTCATGGCTGTGTGTATTTAGCTCTGTGCAATTTTATCAAAGCTGTTATATAAATGGAATCACCTTTGAGGATTGACCTTTCCCGGCAGAACTGCTTGGAGACTCATCCGTGCTCTGTGTTGGGTGGTTTTGTTCACTGCTGTCTCCTCCGCGCCTAGAACACTGCCTGCTGCACATTTATCCTCACAATAAATATTTGTTGAGTGAATGCATGAGTGGATTCCTTCAACAAACTGGTTGTTGGTTGATAGTGTACCAACAAGAAATGGCTCTTTTCCTAATGATCTCCTGGGACGACAAGGAAGACAATTCACAGGGAACCCAATGACAGCAGCCAAGACACCCCGTGCAGGTTCCTCTCCCTGCCATCCCTGATCCCTCCTCTCTCCCTTTCCCTGTCAGTTCCTCAAACCCCCTCTCCTGTCTCAGCATTTCCATTTCACCCTTGGCTTCTACAGCACATTAAACAAAAACCTGACCCCTGGAAATGGCAGCAGGAAGACCATCTCTGCTTCCTTTGGGGATCCCAGCACCTCCAGCCTTCATGAGATCTACTGGGAGGAAATGCCAGCTATGGTGGCCTAAGAAAAACGTGACTGAGGTCTGCATTCACAGAGCAGGAGTGGAAAAGAGGCGACAGATGTGACACTCACCTTATTATTCTTCAGATATTTGAGAAGAGGGTGGAACTAAGAAGTGCTTCCCCCACCCCCATTCTCTTCAATTCTGATTGCCAAACAGATCCAGACCTACTCACGAAAAAGGGTGCAGTTCTGCGCGGAAGAAAAATATGTCTGTGGTTTGTTTGCCTCGTTTGAGATGACAGGTGAGATACCAGACTGATGAGGAAGGCTGGCACACCAAATCTTTTTTTCTCAGTTTCAAAAACACCAAAGGTCGATGACAGGATGCCCAGTTTATCTAGATCCTTAACGCCATCCTGTTTCATTACACACAGGCCAGAGTAATTAGCTCAAAAGGCCACAGGAGCTAAGACGCATGCGCTTTCTCAGGCACCTCAAGACAGCGTGTCTTCCCCTCTGAGCCTTCCTTGTTATGCTTCGTGTGGGTGTAATACGTGACCAGGAAGTTCTACAGGAACAATCAATCACTCAGATTTGTTTATTGCTTTGATAAAGCCACAGCATTTCACAAGTGCTCTGAGAAGTGTCAGGTACTCGGTGAGCCCTCAAATGTTTGCTGACCCACTAACTTGTTCCTCCAAAGGTTTTTCTAATTCGATTCCCGTTCAGGAATAAGCTGGATGTGTACTTGGACAGATCAACTCACGAAACATCTAAGTGCTTTCCAGCTACATCCACGTTACTGGTTCACAACACTTCCTCCCAAAGTTTCGGAGCGTCAGGCTGACTCCATTAAGAAGGTTGCTGGTCCAGGCTAAGAACAAACACCTTTGATGACTTCTTAAGTTGTTTAAAGACTGTTTGGGTGGCTTTTAAATGGCCAAGAGAAGTCTTTGCCATGGCAAATCAGGACACGCAGACAGAAGAGTCATTACCAGCTTCCTCAACAACAGGAATGAGACATGTGGCCTCTACAGCTCAACTTCCTTCTAGGTGTTTGGCCTGGCCACCAGGTGCAGACACACAAACACAAACACACACATACACACACGCAGCCAGCGGCAAAAGCTGCTGGGTCACGTCAGGAAACAGTCCCTTCAGGTCAAGCCCCAGCAGAGAGGCTGGGGATGTTCGTGGACCAGGTGAGCAAAGAGAGCTGTGGAAGCGCTGTGTTGGGCAGGGTAGGGATGAGCCAGCCTTCTTCCCTCCTGGTGATCAGGGAAGGCTTCCCAGAAGAGTGTGCCTTCAGGAGCTGCCTGAGTGTGTGGAGGGAGCACCTGGCAAAGTGCTGGTCCTTACAGGCTGATAGTGTAGCTCAGGAAAAGGATTTGGGGACGGTTGTGGGTTGACTGAACAAAGCAGGTGGAGAGTGATTTCCCCGAGAAAGAGCAGTTGAAAGAGTGTGAGAATTCGGCAAATTTTGCACGTGCACGTGTGTGTGTGTGTGTCTGATTACAAAAATCATATATATTCATCATAGAGCACCTGGTTACATTAAAAAAGAAATGAGAAAGACACCCATAGTCCCACTATCAAGAGAAAACCCCTGAAATCATTCTAGTGTGGTTTTTCTTCAGTATTTAAAATGTTTTTGTGCACAGCGTATATAGTAGCAATTGGTTTATAACCTAGCCACCAGTTTATAACCTGTTTCTTTCACAGAACATATAATGCAGGTATTTTCTCAAAGTACTAAATTCTTCTAAAGGGAGCATGTTACTTCATCTTTGGGACATGACCTGATGTACACTATCCTACTGCTGGACATTTAGGTTGTTTCCAATTTTTTACTATTATAGGTAATGCCAGATCAGTAACTGCACACATATTTCTAGAGCTCATCCCTCCCCCGGGCTCTGTATTCAAGCAGTTATTATTGCGATTTTCTTTGGCTAGATTCCCAACTTGGTTTTTCTGAGCCAAAGAGAAGAAAAACAAGGTTTTGGGTATTCTTTGAAAGGCCTAGGGTTTTGGTTTGATTGAAAGGAAACTGAGAAACCATTAGAAAATCCAAGAGGCCCACATGGTCAAAGTGGTTGGAGGCAATAGAAAAAAGAGGGGGTACATGGTAATATGACTTTCATCCAAATCCTCCCTCCCTCTTCTTCCCCTATTTCACCTCCTCCATATATTTCCATTCTGGGAAGATACTTGCTCTTTTCCAGGAATATATTCTCCTCACTCATTCATTCATCCATTCAGTGATAACCAAAACTGTGTTGGCATTTAATGGGGAGCACAACCAGCACCTCAGCTGTCCTCGGGGAACGGAGGGTGCCATGAAGGACACAGCACCAGGAAAACAGACCAGTGCCATTCAGTGGAATGCTGGTGAGAAAAGGGAACACCCCAGGGGACACCCAATGCTGCCTTGAAAACCAGGGCTGGCTGATTAGGGAAGGATGGCAGCAGGGAACTTGGGGAAATGGGCGATTCCAGGGCTGAGGGCGGAGGCCTGGAATCGGGAGAAGTTAGTAAATTTAGAAAACCTGAACTGTGGGGAAGAAGCTGGACAGAAAAGGCAAGTTTCAGCCTGATCCCCAATTTATCTGTAGTCATGTAAGAAATGGGATTGGCACTCGCTCAAAAGAAATCTCCAGTGGCCTCTTCAAGGACAATCAAGGACTAATAGTCATTCTTTTTATTCTATTTTTTTTAAAGATTTTATTTATTTATTTGACAGATCACAAGTAGGCAGAGCGGCAGGCAAAGAGAGAGGGGGAAGCAGGCTCCCCGCTGAGCAGAGAGCCCGATATGGGACTCGATCCCAGGATCCTGGGATCATGACCTGAGCCAAAGGCAGAGGCTTTAACCCACTGAGCCACCCAGGCGCCCCTCTTTTTATTCTATTTTTAAAGATTTCATTTATTTATTTAGAAAGAAGTGGGGAGGGTCAGAGGGATCAGGAGAGTGACTCCCCAGCAGACTCCACCCTCCTCCGCACAGAGCCCGATGCAGGGCTCAATCCAGTGACCTTGAGATCATGACCTGAGCCAAAACCAAGAGTCGGACACTTAACTGACTGAGCCACCTGGGCACCCTAATAATATTTTTTTGAGATCTAATTCACACACTATAAAATTCACTCATATAAAGTATACAGTTCAATGTTGTTTAGTATGCTCAGTGCTGTGTAACAATCACTAGAGCATTCTCATCACCCCCCAAAAGAAAACCTGTCCCTATGAGCAATCTCTCCTCCTCTGTGCCTCACCCCCCCAATTCTAGAAAACCACAAATCTGCTTTCTATCTCCGTGGATTTATCTGTTCTGGACAGTTCATATAAATTGAATCACACAAAGTATGGGGTTTCTGTGACTGCCTTCTTTCATGTAGCATAATGTTTTCAAGGTTTGTTAAGTTGTTGCACGAGTCGACACTTCATTCTTTTTGTGGCCAAATAATATTCCCTTTTATGAATACTGCCCATTTTGTCTCTCTGTTCATCAGGTGATGGACATCTGGGTTGTCTCCTCTCTCAGGCTATTGTGAATAATGCTGCTATGAACATCATGTGGACATGTGTTTTCA